GTTCCCTTTTTGAACGTTCGGGTCAGCTGCACGTCTGAATATGCGCGGGTAGTGCATTCCATTTGGTACCCGTTTTTGAACGTTCGGGTAAGCGACACGTCTGAATTTGCGCGGGTAGTGAACTCCATTTGGAACCCTTCTTGGACGTTCAGGACGAGCGCCGACGCGACATGCGACCTTGATGTTGGTGCACGTTTCTGCCAAGCTTTTCGATTTCACGCGCTTCCCGTTCATGTCAAGACAGTTTCCTCACAATAGCGATTTCGCCTGAGACATCCTCACAACAATGAGATCTTCGCGACACCGCGTCGCCACCGTGTTAACAAGACCAAGCGTTTCGCTAGAGACAGCCTCGAAACGGTGACCGTGGCGACATTTATGGTTTTGCAGAAATTGGCGTTTCGCCTGAGACATCCTCACGCGCATGAGATGTCGACGGAGGTGTTTTCCTGCCACTTATGTTGATTACTGCGTTTTCACTAGGGACATCCCCAGAAATTGCCTGGCAGCGCGGCTGACCAGAAACGAGAGCACGGCAGAAACTTTGCATTTCGCTGGGGACATCCACAAACAAATGAGATGTACCCAGCATCGTCTTGAGGTGCTTCAACATGAAGACATGAGAGCTCACAACGGACCTCAATATGGCTCCAGGAGCGCCCTGGTGATTGTCGCAAATAACGATTTCGCTAGGGACATCCTCAGCATATGAACACGTGCAACATCATCGTTTTGAGAACTGCTGTCCTGCACCGTCTTGTGATCGCTCTTGAAACTGCTTCCAGACGGCCCCCACCAGGCTTCTAAAACTGACGATTTCGCTTGGGACATCCTCAACAACGAGATGGGTGCGACATCGCGTTGGCATGTTTTTGATGGCGGCAGAACACACAGGAGCACGGCAAAACACAGGAGCACAGCATAACACACGTAACACACACGAGCACGGCATAACCCACAGGAGCACGGCATAACCCCAAAAAACAAACGGGAGCACGGCAGACCATACATACAGGAACACGGCATACCACACAGTAGCATGGCAGACCATACAAGCGCGCGAGGAGCACGGCAGAACACATACGATACATATGAGCACGGCAGAACACACAGGAACACGGCAGAACACAAGAACACGGCAGAACACGCATCACGCACACGAGCAGGGCAGACCATACAGGAGCACGGCAGACCATACAGGAGCACGGCATAACATAGGAACACGAGGAACACGGCAGAGCACGGCAGAACTCACAGAAGCGCGGTTGAACACGCAGGAGCATGCGTAGCCATTTTGGTTCAAGGCCATGGAGAACCCGACGACCGCGAGTCGTTCGCGGCGCTCTGAGCGCGAGGGTCTCCGCGCTTTGGGCCAGTGCAATTCGCGTTTGTGCTCCCTGCTCTCACGGCGCGGAGGCGCAGCCCCTCGGCCAGCGCGGCAGTGGCCATGGCGAGGTCCCCGCGCGGCGGTGGCAGCAGCAGGCGCAGCAAGTCCTACTGGATGTGCAGCTGCGGCGGGTGGAACTGGGATTGGCGCACCTCTTGCGTGGGCTGCGGGTATGCGGCCCCGCCATGGGCGATGGGGGCGCCCCCACCCAAGGCGAGGCCCAAGGCAGACAAGGATGGCTGGGTGGATCAGCCACGTGGGCGCCGTGCCCAGAGGCAGGCCCGCGGCGCGGCCTCGCGGGCAGCATCCACCAAGTCGCAGACCTCGGCGTCGGCAGCAAGTGGGACGCCCGGCGGTGGAGGCGCCACGGCGATCGAGAGGCTCCAGGCGGCAGTCGAGCAGCTCGAGGCGCTGCAGGCCGAGCCCCCTGACGGAGTGGACGGCTGCTTCACCGACGTCGTGGCCAGCCAGCTGGAGGCGAAGCGTGCCGAGCTGGTCAAGGCCTACAAGGCAGCAGCGGAGCAGAAGGCCTCGTCCCTGCCACGGGCGACGCGGCTCCACAGGGAGGCGAACGCCATCAGCAAGGGCGAGAAGCGGTTCCGGGCAGCCCGCCTGGAGCTCGAGCAGAAGCAGGAGGCGCGCGACCTCGTCGAGGCCCAGCTCCGGATGGCCCAGGCGAAGCTCGCGGAGCTCGACGAGGAGGTGGAGGAGGCGAGCCTGGCGCTCCAGGTGCTCGAGGAGGCAGCCCGTGGGGGGGCTGAGGCGCTGCGCCGCCAGCGCGCAGCCGAGTGGGCAGGAGCCAGCCAGGTGCCAGGGCTCCTCATGCAGCTGGAGAAGTTGCCAGAGGCGTGGAGCTCCAGCAACTTCGAGGTGGCCCGGGCAGCCATCCGCGCCCAGATGGAGGCGGTGCGGGCGCAGCTCGAGGGGGCCCCAGTGGCCCCCAAGCGCGCGCCGTGGGCTGAGTCCTGCCCCATGGAGGAGATCAGCAGCGACGATGGCGATCTCGCGGACGGCGGCGGCGCCTGGCAGCCCCAGCCAGCAGCGGGGCGAGGCCGCGCCGAGCGGTGCGGCAAGGCGCTGGGCGAGTGGCCAACGGTGGCCCATGCATGCAAGCGGGAGCTGGCGGCAGAGGCAGCGGACTTGGCTCCCCTGGCTGCTCATCCTGCTGGCAGGTCCGCTGGGGGCCGCGTCGGAGGGGCGCAGCCAGGGCCAGCGAGTGCCTAGCGAAGCCTGTGCGGCGGGCCTGCGCCTGCGCGAAAGCGGCACCGAGGTCGTCGGGAGCGACTTGGCGGGGCTCCACGGCGTGGGCGTCTTCGACCCGCCCTGGGGCCAGGAGCGCGCTGCAGGGCCCAGCTGTGTCCGCATCCTCCTGGACGCTGGGGAGAACGTAGTTGGGGCCATCGAGTTCGGCACTAGCGAGTGGAGCGACCCCGTGGGCAGAGCAGGCGTACCTGGGCCTCCCGAGACGATGGCCAGGAGTGCGGATCCGCAGCTGCCCACCGAGCAGCCACTCGGGGCGCGAGCTCAGGAACGGGAGGAGACGGCAGCCAGGGGTGGTGCAGCCGCCACAGGCGTGAGCCGTGCCTCGCCCGTCTGCGCGGTGGTGCGGACCCAGTGGATCGGCGACTGGCACCTCGAGTCGGAGTGGTGCATGGTCATGGACCTCGGTGGCGCGTTCGACCCCATGTTCCTCGAGCCGCGGGCGATGTGCTCGGGAGCAAGCACGTGCGCTCAGCAGGCTCGCTACCGCCATGAGAGGCGGGACCCCTCCTGCAGGCCCCTCTCGCTTCGGCAGTCGTTCGGGGACGCCATCGGGCTGCGGTTCAGGCCAGGAGTCAAGTGGTACGTGAAGGAGCGGCGAGCACGAGGAGGTGGTGTTGGCGAACTCGACAGCGAGCAGTACGTCAAAGGCTCGGCCTCGAGCAGCGGAAGGCTCCCTCCTGCTGGCGGGATCGGCCAGGTGCGGTCCGCGGCGGCATCGGAGCCCCTGCAGGCTGGGGAGGCCCTCGGCGGCGGCGCTCCAGCCACGCGGCCCCGCCTGGAGGACAGCCGCTCGACGGGGGGCAGCACGGCCGCCCTCTCGGCCACCGCTGTCGCCTTCAGCGTCCTGGGGCACGTGCTCAGCTATGCCTGCGCGGGCGAAGGCGAGGGCGCCCAGGATATCGTGGCGTGCACCAAGCGTGGCGCCTACAAGGTGCTGGGCAGCCACGGGGGAGGCAAGTCTCGCCTGAAGGTGCAGTGCCCAGGGCCCAGCTACCTGACCAACAAGTCGGGCAGGAACCAGCGCAGCCTGTGGGAGCGAGGGCTCCATCCTGGTGGCAGGCCTCGAGCGGACAAGCAGAGGGTGAGAGCAGAGGGCATCCCTGCCTTGCGCTCGCAAGGGCCAGTGCCAGGACACGCCCAGGAGCGCTACCTGGAGTGGCCCGGCATGGGGGCGGAGCCTACAGGCGGAGCCTCAGCCGCGGCCAGCAGCTCGGGCAGCGGCCCAGCGGCTCCCGCGGCAGAGCAGGTAGTGGAGTCGGCGGCGGCCAGCCCGCCCCAGCAGCGGCTTGGCCCGAGTGCTGGCGCCATCGGCGCAAGCGGGGCCGCCGAGGAGGAGCTTGCAGCCGCGGGGCCCGCCTAGCGGCGGCCTGATGGGCCGTAGGGTCCGCCGCCGCCTGGCGCGCCGCGGTTCGGATTCGTCGGGGAGTGATTGAAGGCCCTCCCGCCTGTCCGCCCGCGTCTGTTGCTCCCGTGTGAGTAGGCGCGCGAGGCTCGCTTGCTTGGGGCTCGGCGTCTCTCGGGAACTTTGGCCCCGCCTGGCCCTGTCCCCGTTTTCTTTTCCTTTCGCCTTTAAGGCCCCGGCTATAATTATAACGCGCAGGAGCATGACAGACCGCGCAGGAGCACGGCAGAAGACACAAACCATATATGAGCACGGCAGAATCAGCAGAAGCGCGGCAGAACACACAGGAGCACGGCAGTACACACAGGAGCACAACAGAACACACAGGAGCATGGCATAGCTCACGGCAGAACACACAGGAGCACGGCAAAAGACACAGGAGCACGGCAGAACACAGAGTACAGAGGAGCACGGCAGAACACAGAGTACAGAGGAGCACGGCAGAACACACAGGAGCATGGCAGAACGCACAGGTTCTCGGCAGATCACACAAAACACATAGGAGCACGGCAGAATAAGCAGTAACACGGCAGAACACACAGGAGCACGGCGGAACACACAGGAGCATGACAGAACACATAGGAGCACGGCAGAGTAGGAGCACGGCAGAGTACACAGGAGCACGGCAGAACACACAGAAGCACATCCGTAGCCATTTTGGCTCAAGGCCATGGAGAACCCGACGACCGCGAGTCGTTCGCGGCGCTCTGAGCGCGAGGGTCTCCGCGCTTTGGGCCAGTGCACTTCGAGTTTGTGCTTCCTGCTTTCGCGGCGCGGAGGCGCGGCCCCTCGGCCAGCTCTGCAGCGGCCATGGCGAGGCCCCCATGCGGCGGCGGCAGCAGCAGGCGCGGCAAGTCCTACTGGATGTGCAGCTGCGGAGGATGGAACGGGGGTCGGCGCGCCTCGTGTCTTGGCTGTGGGCATGCGGCTCCGCCCTGGGCGCTGGGAATGTCCCCCGCCAAGGCGAGGCCCAAGGCAGACAAAGACGGATGGGTGGATCAGCCACGTGGGCGCCGTGCCCAGAGGCAGGCCCGCAGCGCGGCCTCGCGGGGAGCCTCCGCCAAGTCGCAGACCTCGGCGTCGGCAGCGAGTGGGCGCCCAGCGGTGGAGGCGCGCGGCAGTCGAGCAGCTCGAGGCGCTGCAGGCCGAGCCGCCTGACGGCGTGGACGGTTGCTTCACCGACGTCGTGGCCAGCCAGCTGGGGGCGAAGCGCGCCGAGTTGGTCAGGGCCCACAAGGCGGCAGCAGAGCAGAAGGCCTCCTCCCTGCCACGGGCGGCGCAGCTCCACAGGGCGGCGAACGCCATCAGCAGGGGTGGGAAGCGGCTCCGAGCAGCCCGCCTGGAGCTCGAGCAGAAGCAGGCGGCGCGTAGCCTCGTCGAGGCCCAGCTCCAGAAGGCCCAGGAGGAGCTTGCGGAGCTCGACGCGGAGGTTGAGGGGGCGAGCCGTGCGCTCCTGGTGCTCGAGGAGGCAGCCCGCGATGGGGGCCGAGGCGATGCGCCGCCAGCGCGCTGCCGAGTGGGCAGGAGCCAGCCAGGTGCCAGGGCTCCTCATGCAGCTGGAGAAGTTGCCCGAGGCCTGGGGCTCCAGCAACTTCGAGGTGGCCTGGGCAGCCATCCGCACCCAGGTGGAGGCGGTGCAGGCGCAGCTCGCGGGGGCACCTGTGGCCCCCAAGCGTGCGCCGTGGGCTGAGTCCTGCCCAATGGAGGAGATCAGCAGCGACGATGGCGATCTCGCAGGTAGCGGTAGCTCCTGGCAGCCACAGCCAGCCGCAGAGCGAGGCCAAGCTGAGCGGCGTGGCAAGGCGGATGGCGAGTGGCCGACGGTGGCCCAGGCATGCAAGCGGGAGCTGGCTGCAGAGGCAGCGGACCTGGCTCCTCTGGCTGCTCGTCATGCTGGCCGCGCCGCTGGGGGCCGCGTTGGAGGAGCGCAGCCAGGGCCAACGAGTGCCTAGGGAGACCAGTGCGGCGGGCCTGCGCCAGCACGAGTGCGGCCGCGCCGATAGCGCCCTGGTGGAGCCCCACGGCATCGACGTTAGCGACCCGCCCAGGTACCTGGGGCACGCCGCAGGGCCCAGCATTGTCCTCATGCCCCAGGGCGCGGAGCAGAACGAGGTCGGGGCCCACGTGATCGGCACTAGCGAGTGGAGCGACCCCATTGGCCAAGCAGGCGTACCTGGGCATCCCGAGGCGATGGCAATGAGTGCGGACCTGCAGCAGCCAGCCGAGCTGCCACTCAGGGTACGCGCTCGGAGGCTGGAGGCGGTAGCAGCCAGGCGCGCCAGGGCCGCCACTGCGGTGCGCTGTGCCTCGCCCGCCGACGCGGTGGTGCGGTCCCTGGAGCGGTTCGGCTGGTGCGTCGAGTCGGAGCGGAGAATGGTCGTGGACCTCGGCGACGAGTTCGATCCCGTGTTCCTCGGGCCTCGGGCGAGGAGCTTTGAGGCAAGCTCGGTTGCTCTGCAGGCCTCCAACCGCCATGAGAGGCAGAAGCTCAGCTGCGACCCCCTCTTGCTGCGGCTGTTGTTCGGGGACGCCATCGGACAATTGCTCGGGCCAGGAATCGAGCTGTACGTGAAGGGGCAGCATGTGCGAGGTGCCTACATCTCCAACGCACACTGGACGATGAGGGTCTGGAGGCTTCGGCAGCCAGTCGATGGCAGGCTCAACGGCAAGCTGTACCTCGACGGCTCGGCCAAGAGTAGCGAAGGGCTCCCCCCTGCTGGCGAGCGCCGCCAGGTGCTGGCCGCTGCGGCTGCGGAGCCTCCTCTGGCTGGAGAGGCCCTCGGCGGCGGCGCTCCTGCCAGGCGGCCACTCCTGGAGAGCAGCCGCTCGACGGGGAGCAGTGCGGCAGCCCTCTCGGCTACCGCTGTCGCCTTCAGCATCCTGGGGCACGCGCTCAGCTACGCCTGCGCGGGCGAAGGCGAGGACGCCCAGGAGATCGTGGCCTGCTCCAAGCGCGGCGCCCACAAGGTGCTGGGCAGCCACGCGGGAGGCAAGTCTCGCCTGAAGGTGCAGTGCCCAGGGCCCAGCTACCTGACCAACAAGTCAGGCAGGAACCAGCGCAGCCTGTGGGGGCGAGGGCTCCATCCTGGAGGCAGGCCGCGAGCGGGCAAGCAGAGAGTGAAGGGAGAGGGCATCCCTGCCTTGCGCTCGCAAGGGCCGGCGCCAGGGCATGCCCAGGAGCGCTACCTGAAATGGCTCGGCATGGAGGCGGAGCCTGCAGGCAAGGCCTCAGCTGCGGCCAGCAGCTCTGGCAGCGGCCCAGCGGCCCCCGCGGCGGCGTTGGCGGCGGAGGAGGCTGCGGCTGCCAGCCTGCCCCAGCAGCGTCCAGGCCTGACGAGTGCTGGGCCCCTCGGCGCAAACGAGGCCACCGAGGAGGTGAGCGCTGCCGCGGGCGCAGCGGCGAGCGACGGCCAGATGAGCCGCAGGGTCCGCCGCCGTCTGGCGCGCCGCGGCCTGGAGTCTGAGAGTGAGTGAAGGCTTCCCTGCCTTTCCGCCAGCGCCTGCTGCTCCCTTGTGAGTAGGCTCGCGTGTCTGGCGTTGTTTGGGACTCGGCGTCTCTCGGGAACTTTGGTCCCGCCTGGCCCTGTCCCCGTTTTCCTCCCCTGCCCTGTGCCTTGAGGGCCCCGTCTTTAACTTTAATTTTAACTTTAACACGCAGAAGCACGGCAGAACACCCAGGAGCACGGCAGAACCTACGGAACATCTATTCTTACAGGCGCACGCACATAGGCACACGCACACAGACACACGCACACGCACACGCCCATGCACACGCACATACAGACACATGCACACACGCACGCACACGCACAATCAGAGAGGCAACATACGTTCACGCAGACCACAGGAGCACGGCAGAGCAGCACGGCATAGCACAGCAGTGCCGCAGACCACCGTCCACGGACACACATGCACATATTCCTTGCACGCACGCGCCCGCGCAAACGCACGCACGCCACGACATATCTGCACGGCAGACCAACCAAAGAGCATACTTCACATGCCTAGTGGACAAAAGCGACGCTTCCCGTTCTTGTCTGGTCAGGTTACCCAGAATGGCCATTTCGCTTGAGACATCCTCACACAATGGAGATTTCGGAGGATCTATTTCAGGGCACTTCATGTCAAACAATGAAGCTCTCGCTGCAGACATCCTCGAACCATTCAGATCTTGAGATCTCTTGCGAAATTCGCCGATCTCCAAACATGAGTGTTCCGCCTGATGCGTCCTCGAACAAACTAAATGCCGACGAGCTGTCATTCGACCACTTTTGTTAAACATTTAGCTCTCGTCCGAGACATCCTCGAACAACGGAGATGTCCACACAGTTTGCGAATTCGTCGTGTTCTAAACCACGAGGCCCCCGCCTGAGACATCCTCCAAACAATGCGATGTGCAATAAGCTGTCTTCCGACAAAGATTGAAGGCATCCTCTGGAGGATTCCCAAGACGACCCAAGGGGCAAATTGTTTGCAAACAAATTGTCTTTCAACGTTTCGCTCAAACGTACGCGTTTCGCTCGAAACATCATCAACATTTGCATCGTCGTCGTCGTCGTCGTTGTCGTCGTCGTTGTCATTATCATCGTCATCGTCGTTGCCGTCATCCTTCTCCTCGTCATTGTCGTCGTCGTTATCGTCACTGTCTTCGTCAACATCGTCGTCGTCGTCATCATTGCCGTCGTCGTCGCCGTCGTTATTGTCGTCGTCGTCATCGTAGATGCGCCAGCGGGAGGTGCGCCTCGTCTGAACTCGCGCGGAAAGTAGACTCGACCAGACATAGGGGAACGCGAGGGGGGGAGGGTTGCGGGTCTGGAGGCGGATAATGGATAATGCCGAGATGCGCCAGCGGGAGGTGCGCCTCGTCTGAACTCGTGCGGAACGTAAACTCGACCTGACATGTGGGAACGCGAGTGGGGAGGTTGGGGGTCTGGAGACGGATAATGCCGAGATGCGCCAGCGGGGGGTGCGCCTCGTCTGAACTCGCGCGGAAAGTAAACTGCACTTGACATGGGGGACCGCGAGTGGGGAGGCTGGGGGTCTGGAGACGGATGATGCCGAGATGCGCTCCCGCAAAGCTCGTCGCTTTCACGCGCTCCCTGTTCATGTCAAGAAAGGTTCCTCAAAATAGCGATTTCACTTGAGACGTCCTCACACAAGTGATATCTTCGCGACATCACGTGAAGCAAAAACAGGCGTTTCGCTCGAGACATCCTCGAGTAGCTGATCGCCGCGAAATTCATTACTCTGTAACAGTTGGCGTTTCGCCTGAGGCATCCTAGCCAAAATGAGATGCCGACGGAGGTGTATTACTACATCTTATGTTTAAAGCCACGTTTTCGCTAGGGACATCCTCAGACAATGACCGCCAGCATGCCAGACCCCAAAAAGAGCACGGCAGACCATTTGCATTTCGTTGGGGACATCCTCAACACAACGAGATCTTTTCAACATCGTCTTGACATCGTTCTTGAAGTGTTTCAAGATGAAGAAATGCGAGCCCAAAAAGAACCCCAAGATGGTTCCAAGAGCGCCCTGAAGACCGCCGAGCCTGACGATTTCGCTAGGGACATCCTCAAACACCTGAAGCAATGCAACTGCATCGTTTTGAAAACTGCTGTTCTAACATCGTCTTGAAATCGATCCTGAAAAGGCTTCCAGACGGCCCAAGCCAGCCTTCTAACAGTGACGATTTCGCTTGGGACATCCTCAAACAAAGATATGTGTATGAGATCGCGCTGTCATCATTTTTGATGGCATCGAGGCGGCCCCGAACGAGCCCCAACATGACTCCAAGAGCGCCCTCGAGGCGACCCCACATGCGCATTTCGTTTGATACATCCTCACAGCAATGAGTTGTTCGCAACATCTCCTTTTACATAAACACGAGTTTCGCCAGAGAAATCCACCATGAAAACGGGGCTATCTCCTGAGACATCCTCGACAGCATGAGATGTTGAAAAGGTTGATTTAAATCCCATGCATGTTGAAACAGAGCTTTTCGCTTGAGACATCTTCAAAACATGGACAGGATAATCACATGCCAACACACGGAAGCATGACAAAACGCGTGGGAGCACGGCAGAATACAGAAGCACGGCAGACCACACAGGAGCACGGCATATTACAAAGAACGTACAGGAGCACGGCATGACACACAGGAGCACGGCAGACCACACAGGAGCAAGGCAGAACACACAGGAGCATTAGGAGCACGGCAGACCACACATAATACATAGGAGCACGGCAGCGTAGACAGGAACACGGGAGAGCACGCAGGAGCACGGCAAAACATCCGGAACGCACAGGAACATTGCATACCACACAGGAGCACGGCATAACAACAGGAGCACGGCAGATAACGCAGGAGCATGGCAGAACCCAAAGAACACACGGGAGCACGGCAGAACACACAGGAGCATGGCAGACCACAGGAGCACGGCAGAATACGCAGGAACACGAGGAGCACGGCTGGACATACAGCATACACAGGAGCACGGCAGAACAAGCAGAAACTTGGCAGAACACGCAGAATCGCGGCAGACCACGCAGGAGCATGGAACAGCACGTAGGAACACGGCAGAGCACGCATGACCACGGCAGAACATGCAGCAGCACGGCAGAACAAGCAGGGGCACGGCAGAACACGCAGGAGCGCGGCGGACAAAGAACACACGGGAACACGGCAGAGCACAGAGGAGCGCACAGGAGCACGGCAGAGCACATATGAGCGCGGCAGAACACGGCAGAACACACAGAATACACAGGAGCACGGCAGAGCACATGAGTACACGGCAGAACACGCAGGAGCACGGCAGAACACACCGAACACCCCGTAGTCATTTTGGCTCAAGCCATGCTGGCTCAAGGCTCCATGCGGGGTCCCCTGAGCTCGGCATGGTGGCTGCGGGAGAGCCCCACCGTGGGGTGACCGGTGCGCGCGCGTCCGCCGACCGGCTCATTTTCAAGCTGAAGAACAGGCTGGTGGCCGCTGACCGCAAGGCTCTCGCCTTCGAGTCTGCGCTGCTGCACCTCTTCGGCGACGCGGAGGTTGCGGGGAGGGTCGCCTGTATTCTTCCTGCCCTCACGTCCCTCCTCGCGGGCGAGCGGCCCGAGGCGCTGGACATCCTTCGGCGCAACGTGGCGCTCCACTCCGAGGGGCCCTGCGGCGTGTCTCTGGTCTCAGCTGGCCATGCCGAGCTGCGCAAGGCCCAGAAGCACGCGCGTAGGCTCGAGGCGAGGAGGGCGGACACCCAGCCCGCGGCTCACGTGCTGTTGCAGGGCTCCCCGCCCCTCGAGGCCGAGAGCGGGCTCCGTCGTGACGCGCCCCCTTTCGTCCCGAGCTCGGGCTGCTGGGTGCCGCTGGACGGCTGCGGCCGCCTCTGCACGTGCGGCGCGACGTGCTACTCGTCGTGCTCCCCGCTGCCGCTCTCTGTTGAGGAGGTGTTCGAGGATCACGGCGACGAGGACTGTCCGTGTGGCGAGGCGGCGGCTGCTGAGTTTCCGACCAGGGGCGTCCCCCCCGCCCTGGTCGACAGCTCTGAGGGGGTGCGTGGGGCCGCGGGCCCGCCGCAGGGCGCCGTGCCAGTTTCGCAGCCTGGCAGTGCGACATCTCGTCGTGCCCCTGGCTGGTGGCTGGCGCGCGCGGCAGTCGCCAGAGTCTGGCTGGGGCCCTCGCTGGACGAGGACGCCGTCCCCGAGGCTGCGGGCGGTGTGCTGCGGGTGCGGAGAGTCCGCTTTGCAGATGCCCCGCGCGTTTTCGAGATTGGGAGCTGCTTGGGCATGTGTGGTATTCTTCGGCGGGGGAGCGCGCCAGGGATTCTGGGCCCCGCCTGGACGCGCCACGCAAATGCCGTTGACCTCATGCGCGTGATCGAGGGCGACTCCTTCGGCCTCAGGATTCCTCCCACACGGAGGCCGCTGCGTCATAGGGCGAGGTTCGCGGTCGGGCCTCGTCTGGTTGAAGCCCTTTCGCCTGGGATGTCAGTTGAGCGTGCCAGGGAGATCGATCGCCTTATCAGATTGTGCGGAGGACTGTAGCTCGTATAGGCCCCGCAGTACACGCAGTGGGTTAGTGGATTAGTGCAGTTGCGAGTCGAATAGGATATGGTGTTGTGTCCTTTCTTTTCAGTGCTGCACTTGGTGTGGTCTTGTGTAGTGTATGCTATTGTCAGTGCTGCACTTGATGGTTGTCTTGTGTAGTATATACCAGAGGCTTCGCCTTCTGTCTGTGCTGCACGTGTCTGGGAGGGGGCCCAAGGCGGCCTCCTCTGTCTGCGTTCTGGCCACCACTTGCCTTGAAGGCCCCGTCTTTAACTTTAACGCACCGAACACAGGAGCACGGCGGAACACACAGGAGCATGGCATAACACACAGGAGCACGGCAGAGCACGCAGGAGCACGGCCGGCCATGCAGGAACACGAGGAGCACGGCAGAACACACAGATGCACAGGAGCACGGCAGAATTCACAGGAATTCGGCAGAACACACAGGAGCGCGGCATATTACAAAAACGCACGTAGGAACACGACAAAACAAGCAGGAACATGGCAGAACACATGGGAGCACGACGCAACGCAGCAGGGCCGCATACCACCACGCACGGACGCACATGCACACATTTCACGCGCGCACGCGCACGCGCAAACGCACGCACGCCACGACAGACTTGCACAGCGCACGCTATATTTCAGAAACCCAGGGCACACAAGAACGCTTCCCGTTCTTGTCTGGTCAGGTTTCCTCGTCCTGTCTCGCCCACGGGATTCTCTTTTCATATGGCGCTTCGGCTGAAAAGCGACAGGCTGTACAACGCTCGAATCGGGATTTGCATCTGTCATCGCCCATCGCCCACTGTACGTGTGCGTTTTCACGGCCCGTGCTGTCGCGCAGTGCAGTGTGCTAGTGGGTTTCATTCGCGTAGTTGCACATGCCGCTCGGATATTCAATCGTCTGCCAGTGTGTATGCTTCCACAGAGGTTAGATTTACAGTGCAAGTTCATGGCGTGATGCGTGTTCCAGGGATAATATCGCCACATGTGCCACTCTTCCAGGCAAAAGAAGCCAGTCTTCCTGGCGGACAAGTTGGAGGTACCCGCAGGCTTCGAAGATGCCTGTTTTCGCGCCTACGCTGCAGTCACACTTTCCATCGGTCTTCGTCTGCTTCTTCTGAAGGGATTGCATGTTTGAGTGTCTACCTCGACGATTCCTTCTGGGTTAACGGTCAACCTCTTGGTAGTGACGCAGTGCTTCGCCAATGTTGCCCCTGCATCCTTGCCTCTTAGGCCCACCCTTAGCCATAGGCCCTCGAGTTGTTGGCATGATGCCCGTTTGCGGCGTATTCGCGTCGTGTCGACGCGGCGGCGACCCCGCCGCAGGCGTTCGAGGTTGAAGGCCGCCAGTGGCCCAGGATCGGCTGATGTGGGACGACGCTGTTACCGAGAAACTGCCGCTCGGAAAAGGTTGAGCGAGTCACGCGGTGTCAGAAACCAACGCTGGGATCGTCACGGCACGAGCCTGCCGCAGGCCCAACAGTTGTTGGCATGATGGCGGTTGAAGTCTTTTCACTTGGAGGCCTGTGGGTCTGGCACCTTCACCTGCCGTCACCGCTATCGGTTTTTGGCCGTGCAGTGGTTTTTCTCTCCCGCGATCGGGACCCCTCGCGAAACGCGGCGTATCAGCGCGGGGCACGGCAGAGGGAAACGCACGCCGCGGCACGACGGGCGCATGACCCTGGGCAGCGTGCCCTCTCCCTCTCTCCCTCTCCCTCTCGCTCTCTCTCCCTCTCTCGCCCTGCCCTCTGGGCAGAAGGAGGCACGGGGCCACCCGGCGCCGCCTCTCAGCCACCCCCCCCTCCCTCCCTCTGCCTCCTCGCCCTCCCCCCTCTGTAGCCATTTTGGCCCCCGCCGCAGGACCCCGAGACCCCCTTAGGCCCCGGCTCGGCCGAGCGCAGCGCGCGCGTTGCCCGGGGCTGCGCGCCTCGCCGCTCGGCCGCCTCGCTTCCAGGCAGCCATGGCGGAGCCGGAGGCGTCCAACGTCCTGGTCATCTCGTCGCTGCCGTCGGGGATAGACGAGAAGATGGTGAAGCAGGTGCTCGGGCCGTACGGGGGCATCCGGTTTCTCACCATGCAGCCCCACCAGCGGGCCGCGAGGATCACGTTCAGCGACGCGGGCGAGGCGAAGTGGATCCGCGAGAACCTGGATGGCAACATCCCGGAGGGCCTGACGGAGCCGGTCGCGGTGCGCTACGCGCCGACCGCGGCCGCGCCGAGGCCAGCGGTCACTGGCGGCGGCGGCTGCGGCGGCGGCGATGGCGGCGGCTGGGGCGGCGGCGGGAAGGGCGGCGGCGGCAAGGGCGGAGGCGGCTACTCGCCGTATGGCGGCGGCGACTGGGGCGGGAAGTGCGGCGGGAAGGGCGACTTGGGCGGGAAGGGGGGCGGGCCGGGCATCACCGTGATCAAGCAGGGCCTGCGCTGGTCGCTGCCGGGCTCCGGCTGGCAGGCCGGCGACCCGGAGCTCTACATCGGCGGGCTGCCGCCCGACACCACCGATGGGGACCTCTACGAGATTTTTGCGACCTTCGGCGCCATCCCGCCCCGGGGCGTGAAGGCGATGCTCAGCCCCGAAGGCCAGTGCACGGGGGTGGGCTTCGTGAACTTCATCAAACTCGAGGACGCCCAGAGGGCCTGCGAGGCGCTGAACGGCACGATGCTGCCCAACGGTCAGTGGATGAAGGTGAACCTGAAGAGACGGGTGAACAAGGGCGAGGGGAAGGGCAAGGAGTCGGCCTGAGACCGGGCCGAGGTGGCGCGGAGGCGAGTCTGGAGGCTGTGCCCAACGGCGGGCTGGGCGCCTCAGCCTGCTCCTCCTCGTCGTCCTCCTCCTCCTCCTCCTCCTCCTCCTTGCTCCTCCTCCTCTGCCCCCCAGCGCAATGCGCAGGAGCCTCGGGTATCCCGATCCTTCCCCATCCCCCCCTCTGCTCCTCACTCCCCCCTCCCTCTGCTCCTCCCTCCGCCCTTCCCTCTTCCCCTACCGTCGGCTCCTCCTTCTCTACCCCCCTCCTCCCTCCCTCCCTCTGCTCCTCCTTTCCCCCCCCCCCCCCTCTGCTCCTCCCTATGCTCCTCCCTCCCTCCCGTCAGAGGTGTCCGCAGCCCTCTCTCCTTCCTGGGAGCCCTCCACCCCTGTCCCAGAGAACCGTGGAGGAAGCCCCCAGGTCCAAAAGGCGGCAGGTCAGATTTCTGTAACATTTGGGATGCAGTTCTGGAGGAGGTGGTTGGGCTTCGCCCGAGAAGCAGCTCGGCAGTTTGACAACCACGTGTGAGCACTACCCCTGCAGGCTAGTTTTTGGAAAGACTGGCCAGGGTTCAACATCTGAGCGACATCTGCAGCCAGGTGGGCCCCAGCGGGGATGTCCGATGCACCCGCGCCGCCGAACCCGTGTGGGGTAGTGCTTGCAGGGTGCCGCAGACGGATCCCGCGGCGACGGTGATTGGCGGCAGCGGCGGCGACTACTGGCGGCGGCTGAGGCAGCGGCTGCTGGCGGCAGCGGCGGCGGCGGCGGCAGCGGCGGCGACTGGCGGCAGCGGCGGTGACTGGCGGCAGCGGCGGCCGCCGACGGCGGCGGATGGGCTCGGCGGCCGTGCCATGGGCGGCGGCGGCCCCTCGCGGCGAGGGCCCTCCGCGCTCTCGGCGTCGCCGGCGTCCTCGAGCTCGAGGCGGAGGCGCCTCCCCGCCCCCGCGCCGCCGCTGCTGCGGCTCTTGCTGCTGCTCCTCCTGCTGCTGCTGCTTCTTCTCCTCCTCCTGCTGCTGCTGCTTCTTCTCCTCCTCCTCCTCCTCCTCCTCCTCCTCCTCCTCCTCCTCCTCCTCCTCCTCCTCCTCCTCCTCCTCCTCCTTCTCCTCCCTCCTCCCTGCTCCCTCCTCCCTCCTCCCTGCTCCCTCCTCCCTCCTCCCTGCTCCCTCCTCCCTCCTCCCTCCTCCCTCCTTCCCTCCCTTCCTCTCTCCTAGCCGTTTCGGCTCGGGCTGACTGTGCGAACAGCTCGAGCTTGTGCCCCCGTACTTCGAAGCGGCTCGTGGGCACGAACCGTACATCCAGTGTGCGCGCCTGTCCATGGGCGCTGATGGCGAGGTCTTGCCAGGCCCCAAGTTCCCCGTCTGGGGGTGTGGCAAGTGCGGCGAGAGCGGCAATTGGGCCAGCCGGCTCAAGTGTCGCGGGTGTGGAGGGGCTGCGCCAGCACGGGTCCAGCAATCCGCCCGCGCTGCAGCAGCCAAGGCGGCGCGCCCCCAGCAGGGGCGCAGCGACCCCAGCGGCGGCGACCAGGCGCGCCTGGCCAAAGAGGTCAAGGAGCTCAAGCAGCAGCTGGCGGCGCTCTCGAAAGGGGGCGGAGCCAGCGGCGGCGGGGGCGGGGCTGGAGGCGGCGCTCGGCCCTCGCCTGGAGCAAGCGGCGCTGGCCCCTCCTACGCCCAGGTGGTCAGCTTCCTCAAGGGCCACGGCATCGACTCCGCTGTCATCGCCAAGGTAAAGGAGGCTAAGGTCCAGGAGCTCGAGTCCAAGCCTCCGTCCGCGCTGGCCGCTCGTCATCGTGTCGAGAACGCCTCGTGGAAGGTCGAGAAGCTCGAGGAGCGGCTCCTGCATTTTGAGGCGCAGAAGCAGGAGATCCTTAAGGGGATCGCCGAGACCTCCGAGTCCCTGGCCGTGGCGTGGAACACCACGCGAAGATGCTCCACAAGGTCAACTTCAAAGATGTGGACGACCCAGTTACTGTCGGCATGGCGGGCCTGGACCCGACGGTGGTCGACAACGAGGAGAGGGAGCAGGCGCTCGAGACCCTCAAGCGGCTGCAGCGTGAGGCCAGGGAGGCAGCGGGGCGCAAGGCAGCTGAGGGGGGCAGGACTCCTGGCGGCTGGGCCCCTGCTGGCGCTGCTAGTGCTCTGGTGCTGGTGCAGGAGGCGCTGATGGCGGTGGCCAGGCCTGGGCTCCGCAGCCACCGTCAGCAGCCGACTTCGAGGGCGCGGACTTCCATGCTGGGCTCAAGCGGGCCGTGGAGGGAGAGAACCCAGAGGCTGCCGTCGCGGAGTTCTTGGCGGCCCACACAGCCAACAAGCGCCGGCGCCTTTGACGAGGGGTGGCCTGTGCTTGGCAGCCTGCCCGCCCGCCCTGCTGTGAGTCGACGACGGCGTGGGGGATCGCAGCCGTGGCTGGTGGGAGGCAGCCGCCCCTCGGCCGAAACCCTGCGCCAGCCTTCGTCGGGACTTGAGCCGCGAAGGGGGGGGCCAACGAAGAGGGTGATGGCGCATGTGCGAGTCGTTCAGGGGCGTCGGCAGGGAGTTCGGCCACTCCTTCTCGGCCGCCAGACTCACCCGTCCCCTGCGCGGCTGGGGTCCCCGACCCCAGGGCAGCCCGTGCGGGGGGTCGGGCAGAGGGCGCCATATGTTCTTCGACTGGGGCGGCTCCCTGTTCCTCAGGATCGGCAGGCGCGAGCTCGGCAGGTGGGCTGGTCAGGTTCTGGGGGTCCAACGCTGTCGACCTGGCGTGGCCGAACCTGGGCTTCGAGGTGGCAGCGCTCGGGGAGCCCGATGTTGGGTTGATGGCAGGTGCTGCGAGGAGCGTTTCCCCTCCCAGGTGCCCCTCGGCGGCGGCGGCGGGCGCGCCGCTTCATGCGAGCTGGTCGGCAGCGGCTTCGGCCAGTGGCTCGGGCTTGGGCCGGGGCGAGGCGGCCCGCGAAGCGGCTGGCGTAGTTCGTGCCCAGCCCGGCCCCGCGGCCCCTCCCGAGGCGGGCCAGCCCGAGGGCGACGCTGCAGTTCCGGTCGGCGAGCATGATGATGCTCTCTTGTCCCCGCGTTGCGCCCGTAGCGGTGTAGGAAAACGCGGTCTTCGGCGAGCAGCTCGACGAGTTGCTGGAGTCCGAGTCCAGCCTGCCGGGGAGAGCCCGAAGCAGGGTGGGCACTTTTTGGTCTTTTTCGGGCTGAACGCGAATGCGTGGAGCAGCTTCGAGGGCATCCACGACTGGTACGTCGACAACGGCCACGGGATGGCGAAGCAGCTCGTGGGCGTGGATTTTCCGCCGCCTCAGGTTTTTTCGATCCAGGAGACCAGGCTGAAGGCGCTGACGGCCGAGGAGCGGGCCTACGGCTGGGGCAGCAACCACAGTCTTGCAGTCCAGCTAGGCCGCGCTGCTGCGACGGGCGCTGGGTCTACAGAGAGCTCAGGCGGCGTTGCCCTTGCTGTGCAGTCTCATGTTCCTTCGTGCCCTGTGGCTCTGGACGAGCCCCTTCTGATTTTCAGCCACCGCGTCGTCGTCCGCATGATCAACTCTGGGTTCCCTGGGGGGCTTCTGGTTGTGTCGATCTACCTGGGCGTGAAGGAGGGCCCGAAGGGGCCTGCTAACTGGAAGCTTCTCCAAGGTCTGGCGGTGTTTCTCCTGGGCCAGGGTTCCCCGTGGTTGATCCAGGGCGACTGGAACTGCGCGCCGGCTGAGTTGTCCGAGTCGGGGTGGCTCAGCGCGGTCGTAGGTGCAATCTTCCAGCCGAGCGTGCCCACGTGCGTCATTCGGCACAAGGAGGTGGGTGAGGACGGGGCGGAGAAGTGGGTCGCGGTGGGGAGTGAGATCGACTTCTTTGTAGGCGCCAAGGTCCTCAGGCATTGCCTCCACAAGGTCGCGGCCCTTGAGTCGGCCCCGTCGTCGCCGCACGTGCCAGTGATTGCGGTCTTCAAGGATCTCTTGGGGACGTCCTCGTTCAGGAAGCCGAAGACGTTCAAGAAGTTCCACGTGGCCCCTTGCGTTGGCCCGCACTTGGCCCCGAGGTCGGCCGACTGGAGTTTTGGGCCCGACGAGGTCCCTGCTGATGTTCCTGGAGCTGTTCGGGAATGGTTCAACAATCCCGAGGCCTGGCAGGGGGTCCTTCACGACGCTGCCGATGAGCAGCGTGGCTCGTGCATGGGCCGCGGGTTGGGTCCGCAGGTGTCGGTGGTGCCCCTGCAAACCCATTGGGATCGAGAGGCTCGTCGGAGGTTCTGCCCGTCTACTACGTGCTGGATGTCTTTTCAGAGCTTGGCCCTCAGGGGCTCGAAGCTGTCTGCTGGAGCTCTTGGGCGTCGGGGCTGGGGGGCGGGCTCGCGCTGGGCCAGCGCCCTTCTGGACATGATAGGTGCCATGTATGCCGAGGACCCCCCGGCCCCGCAGAAGCAGCAGGAGGGCGTGGAGCGCCCGTGCGAGCAGCAGTTGCGCGCCTTGATCGGTCAGATCAGCGAGGGCGGGTCGCGACCAGACGACGGGTTGTGGACGGGGCTGGCCAGCTTCGTTACCTTTTTGCGGCGAGCGGATGCGTGCGAGCGTGGACGCAAGTGGAGGACCTGGGCTAAGGAAGCTGTGCTGAAATGGGGGGAGGGCTGCGCGTGCCTATGCCAAGAAGAGGCGCATCTTCCCCTCCAGCGTCCTGGATCTCTCGGGCCTCCCCGTGAACGGAGATGATGCCATGGCCCAGCTCCTCGACGAGTGGCTGCCGATGTGGGCGCCGTCTGGGCGCGAAGCCGTGGGCCCTGGGTCGTGGGGCATAGGCGACAGCCAGCTTCCCCCGATATCCTTGGAGGCTTATCAGGACTGCTGCAGGTCTTACTCGGAGGGTGCGGGGCTCGGCTGGGACCAGTTCCACCCTAAGTTGATCCTGCAGCTGCCCCTGGGAGTACCAGGTCAGGGTCTTGAGGATTATCCAGGCTTTTGAGGATCGCCCGTCTTGGATGATAGAGCTGGTGACGAATATCGTATTTATTCCGAAACCAGAAGGAGGGTCTCGGCCCATTGGGCTGCTGTGTCTGTATACTAAACTCTGGAGTAAGCTCAGGCACCCCCTGTGCAGGGTAAGGGAGAGGGCCC